TGTTGCCCCTTGCACATGACCATCTGTTGTCTAGGCATTTAGGAGTTACAAAAATGTACAATAAAATACTCAATCACTTTTTTTGGCCAAGGCTGATATGGTAGAATTTGGTCGCACTTGTAAAACATGTCAGGTTGCAGGAAAGCCAAACCAGCCTGTTCCAGTTTCTCCTCTTCATCCTATACCAGTACTTTGTGAGCCTTTTGATCATGTCATTGTAGACTCAGTTGGTCCATTGCCAAGGACAAAGTATGGTAACCAGTTCCTATTGACTGCTATGTGTGCTTCGACACATTTCCTAGAAGCAGTTCCCCTCAGAAGAACTGCACCTCTGGTGATCAAAGCATTGAAAAAGTTTTTCACCGCTTTTGGTCTTCCAAAAGTAGTTCAGACAGATCAAGGAACCAACTTTCTGTCTAAAATGTTTAAGTAGGTCATGCAGACAAACATGTTGTGTCAAGTGCTTACCACCCCCAGTCAAAGGGAGCATTGGAACGCTGGCACCAGACATTCAAGGAAATGTTGCAGAAATACTGTTTGGATACTGGAAAGGATTGGGATAAAGGAGTGCCCCTGATGGTGTTTGCTATCCAGGAAAATAAGCAAGGTGTTACTTGGATGCAAAAACAACATCTATCTTGGGAATGTAACACACAATGTGTGTTTGTCTGTGTGTGTACAGGATAAATTGAAAAGTTAAGGACAGATATTAATGACATTTTTTTATCAGAGGTGTCCCTCGTGCCAAGGAACAAGTGCCAGGTTATAAGCTGAATACATAAATTCTCTTGAAGTTCCTCTAACATTGTGAGATAGGGATATTTTGCGGAACAAGCAGTTCCCCAATAGACCAGAGGGAGGCAGCAGATACTAATGATAGTCTCTGCATTGGACACAAAAAGTAAAAAAAAAAAAAAAAACCAAAAAAAAAAGGATTTTTTTGGTTTTTTGAAGGGGCCCATTGGAAAATTTAAAAAGGGTTTTTTTTTTTTTTTTTATTTTTTTTTTTT